TTCTCTGATCTTTATTATGTCCCTCCTTCTGCTGACCTTAGGCCTCATTTGTTCTTCTTTTTCCGATTTCAATAATTGTGACATTAGACTATTCATTTGGGATTGTTCTTCCTTCTTTAAATATGCCTGGGTTGCTATATACTTTCCACTTAAGACTGCTTTCGCTGCGTTCCACAGTAGTTGGGGCTTTGTGTTCTTGTTGTCATTTGTTTCCATGTATTGCTGGATCTCCATTTTAACTTGGTCATTGATACATTGATTATTTAGGAGCATGTTGTTAAGCCTCCATGTGTTTGGGAGCCTTTTTGTTTTCTTTGTACAATTTATTTCTAGTTTTATATCTTTGTGGTCTGAAAAGTTGGCTGGTAGGATTTCAATATTTTTTAATTTACTGAGGTTCTTTTTGTGGCCAGTATGTGGTCTATTCTGGAGAATGTTCCATGTGCATTTGAGAAGAATGTGTATCCTGTTGCTTTTGTATGTAGAGTTCTACAGATGTCTATTAGGTCCATCTGTTTTAGTGTGTTGTTCAGTGCCTCTGTGTCCTTACTTATTTTCTGTCTGGTGGATCTGTCCTTTGGAGTGAGTGGTGTGTTAAAGTCTCCCAAAATGAATGCATCGCATTCTATTTCCTCCTTTAATTCTGTTAGTATTTGTTTCACATATATTGGTGCTCCTGTATTGGGTGCATATATGTTTATAATGGTTATATCCTCTAGTTGGACTGAGCCCTTTATCATTATGTAATGTCCTTCTTTATCTCTTGTTACTTTCTTCATTTCGAAGTCTATTTTTTCTGATACTAGTACAACAACACCTGCTTTTTTCCCTCAGTTGTTTGCATGAAATATCTTTCTTCATCCCTTGACTTTTAATCTGTGCATGTCTTTGGGTTTGAGGTGAGTCTCTTGTAAGCAGCATATAGATGAGTCTTGCTTTTTTATCCATTATATTACTCTGTGTCTTTTGATTGGTGCATTCAGTCCATTTACATTTATGGTGATTATTGAAAGATACGTACTTATTGCCATTCCAGGCTTTAGATTTGTGGTTACCAAAGGTTCAAGGTTAGCTTCTTTAATACCTTACTGTCTGACCTCACTCACTTATTGTTATAAAAACAGTCTGATGATTATTTCTTTCCCTTCTTTTTCCTCCTCCTCCATTCTTCATATGTTGGGTGTTTTGTTCTGTGCTCTTTTTAGCTCCCCTCTAGAGCAGTCCCTCTAAGATACCCTGTAGAGTTGGTTTATGGGAGGCAAATTTCCCCAACTTTTGCTTTTCTGGGAATGGTTTAATCCCTCCTTCATATTTAAATGATAATCGTGCTGGATACAGTATCCTTGGTTCAAGGCCCTTTTGTGTCATTGCATTAAATATATCATTCCATTCTCTTCTGGCCTGTATGGTTTCTGTTGAGAAGTCTGATGATAGCCTGATGGGTTTTCCTCTGTAGGTGACCTTTTTGCTCTCTCTGGCTGCCTTTAATACTCTGTCCCTGTCTTTGATCTTTGCATTTTACTTATTATGTGTCTTGGTGTTGACCTCTTTGGATCCCGTCTCTTGGGAGTTCTGTGTGCCTCCATAGTCTGAGCAGCTATTTCCTCCCCCAGTTTGGGGAAGTTCTCAGCAATTATTTCTTCAAAGACACTTTCTATCCCTTCTTCTCTCTCTTCTTCCTCTTGTACCCCTATAATGTGGATATTGTTCCTTTTGGATTGGTCACACAGTTCTCTTAATATTGTTTCATTCCTGAAGATCCTTTTATCTCTCTCTGCATCAGCTTCTATGCATTCCTGTTCTCTGGTTTCTATTCCATCAATGGCCTCTTGCATCTTATCCATTTTGTTTATAAATCCTTCCAGAGTTTGTTTCACTTCTGTAATCTCCCTCCAGACAACTGTACTCTCCCTCCGGACTTCATCCCTTAGCTCTTGCATATTTATCTGCAGCTCTGTAAGCATGTTTATGATTTTTATTTTGAATTCTTTTTCAGGGAGACTGTTTAGGTCTGCCTCTGCGGATCCTTTCTCAGGTGTAACTATCTTGGACTGGACCAGATTTTTTTGCCTTTTCATGGTGGTAGCAGTGGCTGTAGGCAGGTTGTGGGTGTTAGCTGGGAGAATAACATCCTTTCCTGCTTGCTGGATGCCTTGCCCTGCTCCACTGCCTGTGATGGTTACCCGCACTCCTGGAGCAGCCACTGGGTTAGTCCCCTAAGCTGCTGTGGGTGGGGTGTCCATCAGAGCAGCACAGAGCCCTGCGGGGTATGGCAGACATGCCAGGTGCACTCCTCCGTGCTAGCGGTCACCCTGCCGGGCAGCTCTGTGGCAGCAGCGGCCTTTGGGTCTGGCCCGGGCAGCTGTGCATTGGGCTGGGATTCTGGTCGGCTGCTGGGAGCATGCCTGTTCCCTCTGGCTGCGCTGTAGGTGTGTGTGTGGCTCTTCTGTGCAGGCTTCTCCCAGGCTCCTCTGGCTTCACTGCTGCCAGTGTGCACGAACCCTCGCTCGGGCTGTTCGGTTGCACTGCTGTGGGCTAGCACCTGCCTCTCCTGTGGTGCATGGATCTGCTCTCGGTCCCTTCTGGCACTGCCATCCCCGGCATGTGTTGCCACTCTCCTGCCACTGGGCCAGTGTATTGGGGTCCCCGCCAGTTGGAGGAACAACTGGCAGGCTGCTTATTGCCGTGAGGGGCTTCAGAGCTGCACTGCCTCCCCGGGGTTTAGGGCGCCTAAGTTTCCCCGGTATTCCCAGCTGCCGGGACAACTTCATCCAGCTATGGGTTCCCTGTCTCTTTAAGACTTGCAGAAAGCACTCACTTTTCTTTTTGTCTCAGGGGCGCCAGTTGCAGCGACCTGCCCAAAGCTTTTGCTTTTCCATTTCTCTAATATCCAGCACCCCATGCACCTTGTGTCTGCATTCCGGGTGCAGATTTCTAGAGGTGGTTGTTTAGCAATTCTGGGCTTTCACTCCCTCCCCGTTCTGACTCCTTTCTTCCCGCCAGGTTCTGGGGTGGGGAAGCATTCGGGTCCCGCCTGGGTGCAGCTTGTATCTTACCCCCTTGGTGTGATGTTGAGTTCTCACAGATGTAGACGTATGCTGGCTGTTGTACTGCATCCACTGGTGTCTCTTTTAGGAATTGCTCTATTTATTGTATTTTCATAAATATATATATTTTGGGGAGGAGATTTCCTCTGAATTACTCATGCCACCATCTTCCCTTCTCTTTGCACTATTTCTAATACAATCTAAAGGTACTTCTTTTCTTTCTCCTCCACACTTCATGTATTAATGTCATAATATGCACTTTTTGTGTATCCCTTGATTGATTTTATGTGTAGTTTGTATTCCTACTTTTGTTTTCTTTTAGTTTTGTACTTGGTTGGTAATTAATTGGTCTACTATATTTACTGTGGGTTTATTTTCACATGTGAAAACTATTTAGTCTTAGGAATATTTCCATCTACAAAAGTCCTTTAACATATCCTGTAATGCTGTTTTAGTTGCTATAAATTCCCTGAGCCTCATTTATCAAGGAATTGTTTAATTTCTGCTTCAAATTTGAATGACATTCTTGCTGGTTAGAGGATTATTGGTTGAAGGACCTTCTGAAGTCTCCATACATTAAATATTTAATGTCATTTCCTTCTGGTCTACAAAGTTCATACTAAGAAGTCTGCTGATAGCCTCATAGGGTTTCTCTTTTAAGTAATTTTTTTCTCTCTCTGGCTGCTATCAAAACTCTCTCCTTATCCTTGGTCTTTGCCATTTTAATTACTATATGTCTTCGTGGTGTCCTCCTGGGGTTCCTTTTGTTAGGGGCTCTCTGTGCTTCCATGAACTTCATGTTTATTTCCATCCCCATATTGGGGAATTTCTCAACAATTGTTTCCTCCTAGAGACTTTCTATCCCTTTGTCTTTTTCTTCTCCTTCTGGTAACCCTATTAAGTGAATATTGTTTCGTTTTACTGGTCACAGAGCTCTTCCCATTTTTTCATTCTGAGAAATCCTTTTTTTCTTTCAGTTTCTCACCTTCATTGTGTTCCTGTTCTCTAATTTTCATCTCCTTCATTGTCTCTTCTACTTGTAGCAATCGATTATTCATTCCCTCCATTGTTTATTTCATTTCAATTACTGTATTCTTCATCTCTGAGTGGCTCTTTATCAGCTCTTATACCTCTTTGTTGAATTCCTCCCTCATTACTTGTCTGCTGATCGGTTGAGCATATTGACTGTGACTTTGAAATTTAATCAAGAGGACTAGTGATCTGTATTTCATTTAGCCCTCTTTCTGGTGTCTTATCCTGTAGTTTTGTTTGGGACATATTTCTCTGACTTAATTTCATCAGGATTTCTGTGTTTCTTCTGTATTACATGGCTCTGCAATGCTTCCTGGGCTAGGTGCCCATTGGTGCCCCGAAGATCAAGACTCTTTGTAGTTCAGTGCCTGTTTCTCCTTTGCAAAAGAGCCCCAGTTACTGTTGGTAGACAATGGGCAGGGCCACCTTTCTGTCTGTTTGCTGGCAGTGGTCTCATTTCATTTCACCTTGTAGTTTGCCTCAGCTGGCCCTTTGTGATCAGAGCAGTAGCTTCTGCTGGGATTATTGTGGGCCATTCCATTCTCTATGTGCCCTGCAACGATGGTGGGGATACAGGGTTAATAGGGTGGGCAGGACAGTTATGCAGTTATGGGGAAGGCCAGGGCAACCTGGCATCTGTGAGGAGCAGAGCATGAGGCTTGGCTGCCCACAAGAAGGGATGAGCTCTAGGAGCTGTCTCCTGCAATTGCCACTCCAGTTGTGATGAGACAGGGCCAAGAAAGCTGGGTGCACCTCCCTGTGCCTGTCAGGCATCAAAGTCTAATGTTTCTGGGATGAGGGGTTTAGCCCTACAGTGGTGTGCAGAGAGGCTCTTTGGGGATGAGACCCTATCAAGAGGTATGCAGTGCCTCGGTCTCCCAAAACTGCCTGACTTGTTGCGCTGTGGGAGGACTGAGAAGGTATGCCCACTTGCCCATTCTCCTGCAGAGAGAGCTTTGTGCAACCCTCACCCCTCTGACACCCTTGTCATTGCAAACAAATCTATCAAACTAAAATCTCTCCTTTGGGTCTCAATGGGAACAGCAGAGCATGCAAGTTTCTGTACTACCTTATTGACTGGTATTTCCCAACATGAACAATATTTTAACCTAACAAAATACTTAAATCCTTGATTACAGAATTAAAATTTGATTTCTTAAGTAGATTCTCTGTTGTTTTTGTTATTGGCTAGCTCAGGCCAAAATGGTTATTCATTCCCAGTGAGGCACAAATGAGACACAGTAGATGCCCAAAAGTCACAAAGTATTGTCACAAAGTTTAATTATACAAAAGAAGTACATTCAGCAGAGGCAATTTTCCAAAGATCAGTTAACATCCTGTTAAGAATTAAGTTTACATTCTTCATAAACCAAAGGCCTACTCTTAGGAAAGAAATTTTTCCAAGTTTAAGAGTTTTAGTGCTCCGTAAAAACTACAAGATAATCAAGTATGCAATGCAAAGCATAAGTTTTCTAATATCCAAGGCTTGTGATAATGTGAACTTAAATCCAAAGAACAAACATTTCCCTTTATTGTTTGCCAATCTTCCATACAAGCCTTCTGGCTAAACTACTCACATAGTAAATTTATTCCTCCTCCCCTGAAAGGGCTGGGTAAGTAGGGGTGAAATGTCCAAGTCAAAAAGGAAATAGAGTCAATGGACATAAAAAACCCATAAACCAGGAAAACATTCATTTAATAACTGACTTATTAGTTGATTATAACTACATAAAAGCCCTGATTCTTTATGCATTTTCTTTAAAACAAACCACAAGAGGTCTAAATGTATAAAAATGTACTCCCAAATCAATAATTGTTGGTCAGATGCTAGGCAATATTTGAGAGAGAGAATTCTTACCTCTTTAGCTGCCTCTGATTTGAGCTCTTCTGGGTCCAAAACATCTACCCTGAGTCTCTCAAAATTTTCCCGAAACTCAGAGTAGATTTGGTCATCCACTTTGGTGAGTTTCAGGAACTGTGGGTCAACTGATGAAATCAGCTGCCAAATTAATAAGACAACATATAGATGCTAGTCTCTAATTTACTACACTTCTATCCCCACTCCCCCAGAAAACCCTTATGGTTCTTAGGGTAGAAGAGTTCATTAGGAAGTATAGGGAGCCTAGGCTCCAGATGAAATCATGACAGTCTGAAAGGGCCATAATACACTATAGTCTGTTCCACCAATTCAAACCCTTTTGACCCTCATACTGCCTGGCTACTGCTGTCTATGGATTATTCGTTCAGTCAACAAACATTTCTTAGGTGCCCACTAATGGGCCAGGCACCCTTTTGCCAGTTAGCCGAACACTGGGAAAAAGCACAGCTCATTGCCAAAACAAAATTCATTTTCACCACCCTGTTCTCTATGGATAAGATCTTACAGTAATAAAATTTATCTCCAAAACACAACTGTTTGACTTCCTGAGAATAGTGATTAGCAGAGCACCATATACTACAATTATATATTTAATCCTGCTTAATAATGAAAACAACCAGCTCACTTTGTAGTAGACTTCGGCATGCTGCATTGCTCTCATGGCCCAAGCCATCTCAATATCAGGCTGCAAAGGAGTGAAGAAAGCCAGGTCAGAAATCTCCCAATCCTGCTACCAGAGGACAAATTAAGGAAGTCTGTGGATGTCTAGTTAATGCTTAAGAGGGCTACCAAACTTGGTGTTACTGTCAAAGGATAAAAACTGGACTAATGGGTTTGGACATTATAATACTTTTGTCCTTATGACAATCAAAAGAAGCTACCTACACAGTCTAACAAACAGAATGAGCCACAGGCTATCTTTTCCCATAAGCTAGTGAAAGTGTGGGAGACTACACATTAAGTGGTAGATATACTGCCTTCTCAGAACTGAGTCAAATCATTGTAAAACTGTAATAATATACCCATATGTATCACTGAGTTGTTGAGAGGACAAAATAAAATAATGGAACTGAAATTACTATTCACTTTTTATATTAAAATCATCAATTGTGTTTATCAGACAGCCAATTCCACATCCTATAACACGTAAAAATGAATCGGTATCAGGAAGAAGGCGAGGTTATAAATAAGCCTTACCAAGTACTCACCACCCCCTTCCATTAGAATCGATTACACAGATATATTTCACTGACCCCAGAAAAAGCCATTTGCATTTTTTACGTCCATGCTTCAGACCAGGCCATTTTCCTGACTGCCAGTCCATGCCATTTCTCCACCCACATTTTGAAGATCCACTTCTAGATCTACTTCCTCAATGAAGTCTTCCTCTACTGTCTGGTTCTTAGGGATTTCTTCTTCAGCTAAACTTTGAATCTTACGCCCTGATCCACTCATGTAGCATACAGTACATTTTTATTTGGGTATTATTACTATTCCTATGTCCCTGTCCTGTATCTCAAAACACAACATGTTTTCTCCTTCAGGATCTATACCGGGCACGCCATAAGCCAGCAGAACTTCTTTACTGCACAAGTGTAATCATTTCGGGACCTTTAAAAACATACTGATTCCTCACTTCCATTCCCCAGATATTCTGGCTTAATTGGTACGAACTGTGTACTGGACATCAGGATATTTAAAAGCTTCCCAGGTGGTTCTAAAGTGCAGCAAAGTTTGGGGACTACTTCCATTGGCTTTAGTCTTGTGTTTGTAGACCAAAAAGATTAGAGTAAATTAAAGGCATAGTTTCTGACGTACGTGGAGAGACTCTACAGATGATAACAGGGCTGGCGGTTACAATTTCGTGACAGGCCTGTGCAGACACCCCAGGCTAGCTAGGTGAGGGGAAGCTATGGGAAAGTCTTACTCACATCGTTGCCATAAGATTCGGCTGGGAGAGAAAGTGCATGTGCCACAGACACCAGTTCCCCGGAAACCTGGGAAGAGAAAAGTGGAGGGGAGGGAGAGTTCAAGGCTCTAACCGGCTCGTCTTCCCCGCTTACCCGGCTCCAGGGCAGCGTCTCACCGGCTCATTAGTTCCACTAGTCGCCTCCATGTTGCAACCCATAAACGTGGCCCCACTTTCCCGGAAATGCCTTTTTTGTGCTCCTGCTGCAGTTGATTGGAAAGGAGGGCTGCGTAAGAGTGGCTCTCGTCCGGCTGCGCTTGCGCACACCCTCCTAGCCGGAAGGCGGTGCTCCTGGGCCCCGCCTCACCCGCGCTGTGCGGGGCTAAAGTGTTTCCTTGCAAGGTCTGGGCTGCTAGTGTAATCTGAAGTAAATGAATACTCAAAAATATCGGGTGATCATGGGAAGCATAAATTAGAGCAGCTAACGCATCTCCACTGCACACAGTGCCTGGCAGAGATTGGAATTCACGCTCTTCATTTGAATATGTGGGAGCTCACGCGCGCGCGCGCACACACACACACACACACACACACACACACACTTCTCCCTTAGGAATTTCTCAATACGCTATTATGAGCTCTATTGAACAAGAAAGTCTGGCTAGAAGACCTAGAGTGACTTACTTCCCGAAGGCCGTAAGAGGGAGGAATGAAGTTCAAACACAGGCTTGCAGCACTCCAACCTGGAACTCTTCTCAATGCACCACATGCTTTGTCCCTTTTACATTCTTACTCCTGGTTGAGGAAAAACATAACTGTACTGATTAAAAAAAATGTGCCAAGTCATTCAAATTTTATGAGTACTGATCTCTGAAGTATTTCAAAATGCTTTCCTTTTATTTCTTCCCAGCTGTAACTACCCATCTACATCCAAACAGAAGTTAGAACTTGGAACCTCAAAATACACGTGCAAGATGGGAGGCTGGATGAAGGCAGACAATAGTGATGCAACTGACAGTGAGTGGCCCATTGCATCCTGGAAGCTGAGGAAGATTATCCAATATAATAATGATAGTTAACATTAATTGAGCTTTCAGAGTGGGCCAGGGAATTTACTGGGCATTCTCTAGGCAGTAGATCATTGCAACAGTTTGGTAGGTTTGGAACTGTTATTATTCCCTTATGATAGATGAAGAAACTGAAGCTTGAGGACGTTAAATTACTTCTCGTGATCATTTAAATATGGATGGCGCTTGGACATTTTGTAAAAAGAACTTTGCTTTGAAAGTCATGAGATGTCTGTGATGATACTGCTCATTTGTGTTATTGTACAAGCAGCTGCTCTTTTTCCAGCTTCAGCCTCCCAATCTACAAATCACTTTTTTTCTGTGACTTCAAAGATACTGAGGTCACTGGGGGTAAAATTCAAGAATTGGAGGGGCAGTCAACATGAATAAGATTGGAATGAAATACAAAATTTATTTGCCTCAGATACACCTCAATCCATTGGCCTGGCTTCAAACCTTTCACATGATCTCCTGCTCATGACATTGACTATTCTTCCTTCTGGACTGGAAGTACTGATTTATGTTCCATAGGATACAGGCAACTAAGTCAATAAAGAAAAATCAAAGGAGATGCTACTTTTTGGACCACTGACTAAGCTCTTTTGTGCTCCTGCCATCTGTCACAGTTTGAGAGTTGGGGAGAGCCTTCCACAATTGCTAGAGGCTGAAAAGGGAAGTATTATTCTGGGAAGATGCTGAGTTTATCATTAGGGATTGCTTTTCTTTGATTGGTGCATAGAAAAACTTCCCAAAATATTAGCCCCCTTGGATCGTAGGCTTAGAAATAGCCATGATTTTAAGAAGGGGGTGAGAAGTGCTTTGTATGCTCACTATGAGAGAGTTGAGGCTTTACCCTAAAAGCAATGGTAAGCTATTGAAGGCTTCTAAGTAGACCAGCCTCATGATCAACCTTAAGTTTTAAGAAGGTCACTAAAACACAACGTGGGAGATAAATTTGGGGAAGGCAAAACTGGAGGCAGAGAGACCAACTTGAAGGCACTGGGTGATGAAAATCTAAGCCAAGGCACTGACAGTTTAGATGGATTTTGAGAATTAACCAGGGAAATAGAATCAATAGGACTTTTTGACTAATTGTATATGGAGAATAAAGAAGAATGAGGATTCTGGTATGACTCTCAGGCTTGAGAATAGGATTTGGGGATGCAAGTTTTTGAGCTAGAAAACAGAGGAGGAAGGATGATGAGTTTAATTTGAGGAGTTGAGTTTGAAGAGCCCATGGGGCATTCAGATAGAGTGTACTAAGTCAGAGGGAGATCTGGTCAGAGACATAAATCTGATAGCTGATACTCTGGTTTTAATTGAGCTGTCCCCAGAAAACTATGAAGAACTATGAAGACGCAAGGAGCAGCAGGCCAAGGACAGAACTATTTATGAAGAAGAAAAGGCAGCAAAATAAAATAATAAAATAAAAAGAGTTGTCAGTGAGACATCAGCAAACAACCAAGGGAGAGTCTCACAGAAGCCGAAGGATAAGAGAACTTCCGGGAACAAGTGGTGAGCCGCGTCCAGTATCCTGGGTTGAGCACACTCAGCCCAGAAATATTGAGAGGTCATTGACAGTCTTAGCAGGAGCAGTTTTAGTGGAATGGTGAGGGCGGAAGTCAGACGGCAGAGGGTTGAGAAGCAAGTGGAAGTTAAAGAAGAGATGACGGATGACCATAGAAAGTCCTCCCAAAGACACACGAGGCCCAGGGCCTTTTAAAAATTGTAATAAAATACCCATAATTTAAACATTTACCATTGTAAACATTTGTTTAGTACAGTTTGATAGCATTAAGTGTATCCACGTTGCTGTGCAACAGGTCTCCAGAACTTGTTCATACCGCAAAACAGAAATTCTACACCCATTAAACAACAACCCCCCATTTTCCCCTCCCGCCAGCCCCTGGCAACCACTGTACTACTTTCTGTATGAAAATTTGACTACTTTAGATACTGCATTTAAGTGGAGTCGTATAGTATTTGTTTTTTTGTGATTGGCTTATTTCATTTAGTGTAATGTCCTCAAGGTTCATCCATGCTGTTGTCATGTGACAGTGTTTCCTTTCTTTTTAAGACTGAATAATATTCCATTGTATGTATATAACACATTTTGTTTATCCATTCATCTATCAGTGAATATTTGGGTTTCCTCTACCTTTTGGCTATTGTGAATGATGTTGCTATGAATACGGGTGTGCAAATATCACTTTGAGACCTTGCTTTCAGTTCTTCTGGATATATATACCCAGAAGTGGGATTGCTGGGTCATAGGGTAATTATATTTTTTAATTTTTGAGGAAGCCAGGGCCTTTTTAAATTACTATTTTAGATTTAGAGAAACTTAAGTGTACTGGGGAATTGGCCTTATGCAAAAGACTACTCTTGAGGTTGAGCTAGGTGAATCCCCAGAGAAATTGGATGCACAGAGGCAGCAGAAACAGGAAATTGAGATGCTCTCTGTTTCCTCTGTGAAGCATGAGAGGGCAGCTGAGAGCAAGAGGGAATGTGTCAAATTCTTGTCTTGAGAAATCCTGCATAGCAGTTCAGAGGAGAAGGAGAACCAATCTGACAAGCAGATGGAGGGAAGTTTCCAGGGAACAGCTGAAAATAAAGGACATCATTCCACAAGGGTAGCGGTCCGTATGTAACCCAGAAGTCTGAATGTAAGATGGGTCATCCACATGGATGCTGAATGAATGCTAATGAATGTGGAGGCCTGACCAGGGGGTCAATGGGCAACAGTAAAATGGGGGCACGGGGCGGGAGGGGGGATGGCGTGTAGACTCGAGATGATGGCCAAGTCGGTGCCTGACAAGTGAATATGAGTTAGAATTCCAAGAAACACAACTGGACCTCTACGTGAGGAAGCACTTAGGTAATTTGCTTTACCTAATGTTTTGGACATATTTGTTGCCTTTAAGTTTTAAAGAAACCTATTAAGATGTATAGTATGCACGTGGTTTGTTTGCTAGGATTCTTTTCTTTTAAATAAAGGCACTTATCACTACTCAAGTACTCACAGCCTTGGATACTTGCAGAGACCAGGAATTGGGTCCTCAAAATATTGGAAAAGCCAACTGCTTCTGTACCCCCAAACAGGAGGAGATAAAACCGTCACCCAGAGCCTTTCCCATCGCCAGGCAAGGGAACCCGCGTAGGCAGAGGTATCGGAATAAGTGTTGGCCTTTGCACCCACACCTATTGTTTCAGATGGACTCCAAGTGGCTGGCTATTAAAACAAGGAAAAGAGGAATGCACCAGGAATAAAAGGCAGTACATAAAAGGGGAGAGTCAGTGGATGTTAAGAACTATATGGAGGAAACACCTTTCGGTGTGGGATAAGACAACTGTAGGTGGAGGTCCTCTGTGATGATTCCCTCTCTTTCCTGGAAGCGCTGCTGAGTTGACCTTCAGCTTCCATACTCTAAGACAGGTAATGTGGACATGCCATGGGCAGAGCTGAAGGTCTCGACAGGTGCTGAGGTATCTGTAATGCCAGAGATAATAGGGGTGTGGTGAAGATGAAAGCTGCAATTGTTGGAGCTAGGGTGTCATACGATAGAGGAAGGCATCTTACATTATTGAATATGTTTGTCAGTGGCAAGGCAGTTGAGTGCATACTGCTACTTGCAGGTGGCGAAGCCATGTAGATACTCCCTAAAAGTATGGATCACATGGTTTGGGTGGCTGTCAGACTATATAAGGAAGGCAAACTTGAAGGTCTTTGAAACTGGTCACTAAAAGCTGGGAGGAAAAAAATAGGGCTATGGTCAGAAACCATGTAAGTTGATCTACAAAAACAGAAGGTCTGGATAATAAAAGAGTTTGCCATGACAGGTCATTGCCTACAGGGGTTGTCTTGTGTCATCTGATAAGGATGTTTCATGGGAAGACAGGGTGTTAGAGGAGACATCTCAAATGATTGTGTCCACGGGGTGAGTTCTATGGTCAGGAGGGAGCACAGCCGTGACCTCGGGATGCCTTCACAGATTGGAGCTTGTCCCAGAAACCTCGTAGTAACATAGCCTCAAAATACATAACGCAAAAATTGGAAGAATTACAAGCAGAAATGGATTAGAACAAATCCGTTAAAATAGTGGGATATTTTAACACATCTCTCAGCAATTGGCAGCTCAAACAGCCAACAACTTAATAAGAATTCAGAAGCTTTGGACAACATATGAACAAACTTGACTTAATGACTTAATGACTTAATGGATAAGTCCAGAACCCCG